CCTCCTTTGTCCTCAATGGCTAAGAGAAATAGTATGATCAACGTGAAGATTGTCTTTGACAGACGTTTCTGTGCAGTTGAGTAATAAAATGCAGTTTTAATGTGAATGCTGCTATTATGGGTAGTGCTGTATGAAATGTAGAGCAATAATTCTTAAGTTTTAGGACCTTTCAAGCTTCTTTAAAAAGAAGGGGGAAAAAAAATCCTCATTTTCTTCCCAGAAAACATTTTTTCTTTAAATTTTTATTTATCAGCTTCTATGTGAAATGCAGTATTTTTAGTATTTAAAGTTATGTGGAAGTTCGCTAGTAAACTACTTTAAATCTTCTGTTACACTTTGATCAAGCAGTGTAATTGCATGCTAGGGATGTGGAGTATCACTGTAATCAGTGATTCCTACCATTCAAGGAAAACTTCAGTTTCTTATTTGAGATCTTGGAGTTTGTTGGGTAAAAGACTGCCTGGTTTGCACATGGTCAGATTTCCTATTTAAAAGATAAAAACTCCTTCCACCTACAGAATATAGTGCACATCTGTCTCAAATGCAATACACCATTAAAACAATATTAAGTTTACAAAGTCTAGAATATGTTAGAATTTTTATTTGCCCCCTTCTGTATGTGCATTCTGTAGTTATTTAACCCCAGACAATTCTTTTTAGTGGGATCCATACTATTCAAGTAGCTGTTCAGTAATTCTTTTTATCCTTGTATTCTATCTTGCCTAGTTTCAGGCATTATTTCATGCATCCTTGCACAAATACAAAGTATCTGTCACTCTAACTGCTTCTCAGAGCTCCCTGAATTCACTTTCATAATAAAACTGGGCAAGTTCTTGTGGTGGTACTCTTATTTACAGCTGAGGGCCAAGGTGTAGAGGGAGACCAGAGTTATCAAGAGTTACTGAGTTTTGTAGAAAGATAGTGGATCTCAGAGATCCATGAAAATACCATAAATATGAAAATGGACAGGCTGGTAGAAGAGGAGGAGCCTGCCCTGAAAAAGAAGCTACTGGTTGAGCTTGTTTGAAGAAGCTGAAGCATAGCCCTATCTGTGGGGAAAAATACTCTTTAACAGGATCTATACACAACTAAATTCAGCTGGATTTTTTTAAAGCCATGGGAGGCTATATTTTTCTTTACAAAACTAGTGTTTTTTATATATCCTCTAAAATAACATGTTTTATCTCCCCTAAGAAATGGTCTTGCTAATATACTTGTAAAAATACATTTTGATTGCATTTGTAATTCAGAAGAGTTAGGGCTTGTCTTGTATTTTACTTTCTTAGTGTCTCTGCTCTTGTTTTTGCAACTCTTGTACCCTAGACATGCAGGTTATGATATCATGGTCAGTTTAGGCTGATCTAATACCTTGTTGTCACTGAAAGGAGCTGTTACTTTGGTATCCTGTTTGCATCCCTTGTGCCAGCCTAAGTACTCCCATGGCTATACAGAGTAGGATCAGGAAACTGATGTAATTCAGAACTGAGTAAAAAGTAAATAGAATTATTTCCTCAGTAGACTTAATGTGTGGCAGCAGAAGCAGCTAAGTCAGCACAGTAGAGGGAAGAGAAATACGAGGAGGAGGAGGCGGATTGTTCCTCTTAGTATCGGGCTGGGGACTTACAAATTGGTTTAAGACAATGGAAAGAATTCTGTCGTAACTGGGAGGGAGGGAAGGAAGGTGAGTACCAAATTGTTCTGTGCCATTTTGTTTTCCAATTTTAGTGCTAGTCAGTCTTTAATCATCAGTATAGTTATAAATCGTATAGAATCTAGCTCTCCTGAGAATTGTTTCAAAGGAAAGGAATATCTAAGGATTGAGGAAGTTGTATTATGTAGAGAGCTTTTCTTAAGTGTTTGTCTTTGTGTGTGGAACCTAAGTTAGTACAACAACCCTGAGGGAGACTGATCTGTTTGCTTTATCTGTTTTTATCGAACCTGAGATTTACTGCTTTTCAAAAAAGTCTGTGTTGGGAAATTGTGTGTTAATTCTTAGGGCTCATAGTCATGCAATATGTCAAGTGATAGTTTTGACACCCCTCATTGCTCAGTTCAAGACTTAGGAAGAAAGTTGATTAATGTAATTTATACAGCAAATCTGCAGTGATCTTACTCTTGGTTTTGTATCAAGGGTCTTGATGACTAAGTGTTCCTAAAGTCTAAATTGATTTTTCCATATTTCTAAAGATCAAGCTCTTAACTTCTGCATAGATAACTTCTGTTAGGTTTTAGTCATGTGGTGGTTACAATGGAGGGGAAACAAAAAAAAAAGAAATCCCCAAAATCAATCAAATGTGTATAGAAGCAATTACAGAAAGTGATGCTAAAAGAAGTCTGCTAATATTGACAAAAATGTCAAGAACCCAACTACAAAGTGTGTTCTTGTGTGGCAACCTTTCTGTTCAACCTTTTGGACCCTGTGAAGATTGTTATAAACACCGTTGTATATAAAAGATCTCTTGAGGGCTTTTTTTGTAGGGTGGATTTTTGGGTTGTATTTGTTTTTATTTTTATAACATCATTTCTGTAGTGTATTGATTCTCAAGATCACTTAGCTCATTAACCTGTCTGGTTGAAAAGAATGCAATACCTAGTAAATATATGGAGCCTTGATTCTGCTTGGCCAAGTACTCCAGAAGTATTTCCAGAAGAAGGAAATAGTTTGGCTGAGAGCATTTAGGAGGCAGATGCCTCCCACTGTGTATGATCGTGGCTATATTATTTTCCTCTCCATTGTCAGCAAACTGAGGATGAAATTAAGGCCCAGCAATTGCAGCTGGCAACTAAGATTTGTCAAATAGTTATAGAAGGGTGCTGGCCAATGAAAGAAGACTTAATAGAAGGGGAGAAGACTATCACTTATAGAAGACCTGAGTTTTGAAAAGAGTTGAGAACTGCATTCAAGTCAAAGAGCATAAGGGCTTTCATAACCTTCTTTAGTTGATAATTACCAAAATATTTAGTTCTGGTTTTATTTTTGTAAAAAGAGCCCGAGTACATGCAGTAACTTCCAAATGTTTGAAGTATGGTGTTGTGCATATGTGCATGTCACATACCACTTCTTTAAAAAACCCTACTTTTATAACTATTTTATGTGTACTTTTGCATTTATGTGTAAGGACCCTGTTTACTTTTTGTTGTCTTATCCTTGACTAGTGAAAATTGGGATAACAAGTTGGGCTTGTGAAATTGTCTGGTCATTTGCTGCCTGAGATACTAGAGCAGTGCAAATTGTACATAATTGTAGTTTTCTCCAGAAGGCTGTTAACTTTCTATTGGATTAGAGTCAGTTTTATAGTATTTTTTAGAATCTTAAGTAGCATAATTGCAGTTAAGTGTAGTTACTGGGTTTGCTCAGCTCCCTCCATCCCCTTCCATTGGGAGCCCACTGTTTAAAATAGCTGATTCTGGATCTTGGTCCCTACATTTTATCTTGAAATATCTGTGCGATCATAACCAAGTCTGTAATTTTTCTTTTTTTTTTCTTCTCTATTACCATGCAGTGTTTGGTGCATTATTCTTTCTCACCAAGTGGCAGTGGTTAGCTGAGAGTACTTTTGTGACAGACTTCTAACTGAAATACTCATAACTGCCTTGTTCTCACTAGTATTTTAAATTTTAATTTATTAAATCATTAGTTTGCTAATGCAAGGTAGAACAACACATTGTAATTTGGTTTACCATTGAGCATAAGGCCGGAGGGGCTAAAATCAGGGCTGATCACTTAGTCTTGAGGAAGGAGCAATGCAAGAATGCTATCCTCCTGGTTAGACTGTGTCTGGCTCTAACCGTTGAGAGTAAGGAAAATGTACAACCGCCCCTTTTAAAAAAAAATCTTCAAGGATAGATTAGGTGCCAATTATAGCTCTGTTTTTTTTTTTTTTTCCAATTGCTCCTCCTTTAACAATGAAATTGTGTTGTTGATCTTAAGCTCTGTAGGGCAGTGTGGTCTCTACTCTCCTTATTCTATGGGTTCTTTTAATCCCTCTTCGAAGAAAATTTTTATATTGAATCTTGTCTTGAATTGGCTACCCAGTGACTTCAGTCAATTTAAAGTCATAATGAGGACAAATGAGTTTGTGGTTTCCTGTAATGATGGCTAATCCAGTAATACCATTAACTGTTTAATTTTTGTATTCACATCTGCAAATTCCCTTGTCTTCCTTAGGATTTTGGCTTGCAAAAGGCAAAATATAAGTCCTTTCATTTCGTAATAAAGAGACTGTTTTTTTCTCAACAGAGTTACTACCTTTACTTTTCAACTACTTTAAAGTTTACCACTAGACCTTTTGCACTAGTTGAGATAGTGTGTATGTTCTACTGAATTTACTGTTATCTACTAGGTTAGCAGGCAAGTAGGAAGCTTCCTTGATTCTTAGTAAGCTAGGTGGGTAGTATGATTGATACTTTAAAAAAAAAAAAACCAACACATGATTTTTCTCCATATAGAACAGCACACTAAAACCAATTCTCTCGTGATAGTCTAACCTTCAGCTGTCTTCAGTAGTAAGTAAAATGTGAATCCATAAAATACAGTTGTTTCCTGTATAATGGATTTGTAAATTCTGTATTTGAATTAATGTATCCCTTTCTTAATCTGTTTGATATACTGTCATTAAAAACTAAATTCCTTAAAAGTATGCTGTGTACCTATTTTAATATGGGTTTGGAAGAAACTGTATAACAATTGATGCTAACAATGCCATAAGGAAAAAAAATGTGTGCATATGTTAAAATGTTTCCTATGATTGCTGCTTGTGCCTTCTTTTAGAGTTACTATACTAACTTTAGTACCCTTATTTCAAGGCAAAACCCCCAACATTTATGGACAGAAAATAATACTTGGTCTCTAGCACAGAAATATTTTTGTTGTTAATGACTGACTGAAGTGATTAATGCAAAACAGTTTATTTTTTTTTTCCTTTTGAGACAGACTTCATTGTTTTGGGAACATAATGGAATAAAATCCATTATCTTTTGGTTTTTTGTGTTTTCAGGCTCGGATAGCGTTTTTACAAGGGGAAAGAAAGGGTCAAGAAAATTTGAAGAAAGATTTAGTGAGAAGAATAAAAATGTTAGAATATGCATTAAAACAAGAAAGGTAGGTATACAAATTGTTTGGCTTTTATCTGACTTGCAATACTTTACAGACTAAAAGTTGCATCACGTTATGTAAACTATCTTTACTAGATGATACTACGGTTACTTTATATAAACATTTTATGGTTGTCATCTTTACACTGTTTTCTGATAAACTTTAGTGTCTGCCATAATCAAAAGTTGCATAATTTTCAAATTGTTTGGACTTGTTTCTTAAATACAGAAAGCTCAAATTGGACAGTTCCCCTTTTCTGAGTTAGAGTAATGGTATACTAAGAATAAATGTTCCAAAAACATTTATACCTATTACTTACTATTCCTTTACCTGCTCTTCAGTGGTATTAAACTTGAAAGAATGAAAAATACTGTTCTCTTGATACCCTACAACTTTTTTGTATGTGTTGCATGATCAAAACTGTATTTTGTGGCAGAATAGAATCCTTTGAAAGTTAGTATTACATTTGGAAGTATTGTTTTTTCATGTGGTAGGTGCTAGAATTTTTGGTCTCAGTGCATTTTCTGTAGCATTAATTTAATGCTTTAAAAATTAAAATTCCATTCAGTCCATGCAGACTAATGTCCTTCAGACCTTCATGCTCTTCTGTTGCCTGGCTATTTCATTTGACCAAAATTAGTAGTGGATTTTGCAAAAACACTAGGAAAATAATCTCATCATGTGCCTATGCTTTCAGTAGTGGACTCAATTCTTATATTTAATTTTATTTTGTTCTTAAAAAGTAGGTGACTCCAACAGTGTTAAACATCTTGAGGATCAGGCAACAAAATAGGTAGCCTTTGTTTATTTTGATTTGAGGGGGAATGTTCCTGCCAGACTAAAGTTAAACTTGCTTTTTTGTAGCAAAGTGTAGTGAGGCTTCATCTGGACATTTTAAAATTTACTGTCCAAGAGTAAGTGTGTCTAAATATAGATTACATTATGAATTAGTACTCTGAGTGACTAGTACAGAAATAACTTTGATTAGTTGGTTTTGTATTAAAAACTAATGTTTTGGCAAGGATGGCTACATACTTCTGTGTGAAGTGTCCTGTATAAAGGTGCTTCAGAAAAACAGCATATGTTCATACACAAGGCTGTATCAGCACATCATGTGTTTTCTGGTGAAGTAATAGGCAGAAAAGATCTATTTCTTCATTCAGCCCTGTCCTCGAAATGGAAAGTAACTCAAGGTTTCCAACCAGTGTAAGACTAAAAATTATATTGTTATATCATACTGGTAATGTGCAAGTCACTCTGGATTCAAGGCAGATGAAAAGTATGCAAAGTGTTGGAGTGTGTGTACTCTTCTTTTAAAGAACATTGAACATATCAAAGAAATAATGTGCTGTTACGGCAGACCCAAGTGTCTTGGATATAAGTAACTTTCTGAGGTTGAAGGAAAACATTTTGGTTATTTTGGCAATAATAAACTGCATGCTGCACATAGAGACTTTCTGCAGATGTACACCATAAGGCTGTGAGGATTGCTTACTTACTGAGATAAATCCGAGGCAGTTAATTACAGCTGGAGTGGGAAGACATCATGTAACAGAATGCAGAATTTGAAGACGAATGGAACTGGTGAAACCTCATTTCTGCTTTCCCCTGAAATGCAGCTGCGTTTATAGCTTGACTTCCCATGAAATTCCAAAATTCATCTGATGGGCAAGAAACTGATAATGATACGTACCATGGAAGCAGAACAGCAGGAA